CCCTCTGAGTCCCTTGGAGATGTTGCGCCGGATGATTAAATTTAAAGCAGCAAAACATACGGAAATGATCCAGGGTTTCTGCGGATCATTTAAAAATAATTACAATCCATTATTTTTTGGGGGATTTTTTCATTAATTTCATAAATTTTTAATTTTTATGGGATTTCGGTGTAACAATCAACATGTATCGAATCGAACCGAAAACCGTGACCAGAAACCGTGAATCGAACCGAATCGTGGATTTTTTTGAATCATTCCACCCCTAATATATATATAAATATATATATAAAGAAAAAACTTTGGCAACCTTTATTCCCTATATATATATAGAGAGAGATATATATCTATATATATTTTTTTTTGTTGGGGGTCACTGTAAGATTTAAATTTCTTAATGTACTAGTTTGTACAAACTACAAACTACTTTGCCGCAAACCACAAAACGTGCAAAACCATCATTTAAATAGGGCGTCTCCAACAGTTTTGCACCTGCCACCAGTTACGCAATCACTCTTGTTAAATCACCCGCAAACCATGGTTCAGCCCCTTGCGCAAAATTCCAATTTGCGAGCGCAAATTACTGCACGCAAAATGGGATCTTGATAAATCCGGCCCTATGTGTATTACTACATATTACTGTGTGCTATAGAAAAAGGACCTCCAATTCTTTCTTTTTTTTTTTTAAAACCACAATAACGAGTCTGCTGCTTAATAGATTTATGAGCAATAAACCACAGACATCTTCTCCTAACATGCTGTAATATGGCTCCCTGTTTATGTTTTACAATTTGTTACGGACATCAGTCATTAAAATAGAGGCAATAGGGGCTGTTAGGCACTTTAAGCAAAGCAGGAAGATAAGATATCAAACCTTTGCTAGTTTTAAAAATATAAAAGCATTTATGGGGGTTTATTAAGGTTATAAAGCTGTATAGACAAGAAAAAAACAGCTAAAATGTATCCTCTATTTAAAGTTAATCAGAATGTAATTGCTCTGTGCAGAATTTGGGAGATCATTTTAGGGCACTGTTAAAAAAAAAAAAAGGCCTTGAGTGGGAAGGGACAGTTTCACCATGGTAGGTTAATAATTTATATGGGACTTGCTGACAGTACTTACAGTAAAAAGGATGTAATAATAAGAGCTTTGGTGACAGGGAAGACAATGCAGACAGTGAGAGGAAGCAGAGAAATGAAAACCGTTTGATGCTTCCATAGCTACTTATTATTTGGTTATAAGACAGGCTGTAAGAATAGCTTAAATGTAGCTTTGGTGTAAAATTGTCTATTGTAAGTTTTT